CTCATCCATAACCAGCTCCCTGCCCGAGCCCGACCTCTCACTATAGCAAAGTTCACATCAATTTTCCTTCCCCTCATTTGTCTGTAAACCATGAAGAAAAATCACCGCCGTCTGCCCACATCAGGCCGCCGCCGTGATGTATGGCTGTAATAAAAACCCCATTTTGGGAGGCCGCCTTGCCGCGCCGCCAGCCAGGCGCCGTGCGTGGCCGTGCCACCAGCCGGGCACCGGGCGTGACACAGAGCTGTGAGCAGCCAGCACCATCCCAGCCCGGGCCCTTGTGCTTCATCTCAGCCTCACCGTGGTGGTCACAACCCCACCAGCTCTGGGGACGGGGTGCTGGGGAAGGGGTGCCACCCCCTGCCTCCCCCACACGGATGTGTGTTGTGGAATGCAAGAGCAGGGACGCCTTCCAGTACAACCATCAGGTTGCTCCAAGCCCCATTCAACCTGGCCTTGAACGCTGCCAGGGATGGGGCAGCCACAGCTTCTCTGGACAGCCTGTTCCAGTTCCTCACTGTCCTCGAAGGGCAGAATTCCTTCCTAATCTCTAATCTAACCCAGCCCTATCTTAGTTTGAAGCCATTCCCTCCTTGTCCTGGCCCCCCAGGCCCTTGTCTGAAGTCCCTCTCCAGCTCTCTTGGAGCCCCTTTAGGCGCTGGAAGGGGCTCTAAGGTCTCCCCGGAGCCTCCTCTTCCCCAGGCTGAACATCTCCAGCTCTCCCAGCCTGGTTCTAGAGCAGAGGTGCTCGAGCCCTCGGAGCATCTCCGTGGCCTCCTCTGGATCCGCTCCAAAAGCTCCACATCCTTCTTACGCTGGGTCTCCACCGGGGTCCCGGCCCGGCCGGTGCCTTATCCGGGGACGGGAACGGGGCCCTGCTGCCGGAGCCCGGCCCCGCTCCCGGCCCTGCTCCCGGTCCGCTCCGGCGGAACAACAGCCTCCTCTGCCGGCCGCCGCCCGGGATCGGCGCCGGGGCCGGGACGGGACCGGCCCCCGGAGCGGAGACACGGCGGGAGGGGACGGGATGTGTCGCCAGCGGCACCGGCGGGGACGGGCTGCGGGAGGGAGGGGGCTACGAGTGGGGAGGGGGCTGCTCAGGCCAGGGGGTCCATTCCTCACATCCCCGTGGCAGAAGGGCACACCAGGCTCACACCGCCATGTGCCGCAGGACTGGCACACGCCATCATTGATGCCACTCCACACCGTGACACACATCAGTCACACAGCAGCCGGACGACAAAGAGCACGAGACCGAAACCCTACAGATACCAGAATCGCCAGCACCAGCTGAAGGGCCAGGGCTGCTCGGGAGAAGCTGGTGACCCTCACATCGTCACCACGGCACTGCAGCACACGTCACATCGGGGCAAAGGTGTCACCCAAAGAAACCCCATGCACGTGATCAAGCTGCTCTCAAAGCCCCTAATTCCTGCTCATGGTTCCCTTTGCTTCAGACCCAGAGTTCTGGCAGCAACAAGTGCATTCGGCTGGGATGACGCACACAGGAATTTCCAAGGGGGGGAATACGGTTGTTGAGCTGTAAAACCCTGGATGAGGCCACAGAGGTCACGTTGGCCCCAGCACAGATGCCTGTGTCCAGGCTGGCCTTGTCACAACCCCCTAGGCAGGGAGAGTCCCTGGTGCCCCTCAGCATACCAGGACCCCGACCGAGGCTGTTCTCCGACTCCAGCTCCAGCACAGGACGAGTCTCTTCACCAGCCCTCAAAAACCCTGGTCCTTCCCCTCTCCACCCACATGAGCCCTGGCTGCCCACTGTGCCTTGCTGCAGCCCCACCAGTCCCCTGCTGTCCCCCCTAAGCCAAGCTGCCTCTGCCCAACCTGCCAGCAGCACCTGCAGGTGCCCTTTGCTGTTTGGCAAGGCACAGAAAGATGTGCCAGCATGGCCACAGTTCAACAGTGAGAGGAGCATGGAGCAGCCCCTGGGCTGTGCCACTGCCTGCATGGGATGGGGTGCAGGAAGCAAAGGTCATGCTTGGCAGGGTCTCAGGGCACAGCAGTGGCATCACCATGGGGTCCCTGTGAGCAGGGAGTGCACCTCACCCTCGACACGGTCACCCTTCACACTCTCAGCTGTGCTGGGCTCCCTGTGACCTCCCTGCACCACTGACCTTGGGCATCCCAGGGTCGCCTCCCACCAGTCCTAGGGCAAAGTGAGGTGAGAGACAGCCCCGGTGCTGACCCCTCCACAGCACCCGTCTGCTGGGACACATCTGCAGCCAGCGACGTGCCGGCACCCAGCCACCGGCCTGTCCCCACGGAGGAATGGTGCTCGGTGAAGGGCAATGGGTGTGCCCAGCACATTGTGGAGGCTTCCCACGCTCTGCTCCCCCTGAGGCCATGCTCGCCTGCGGGGACCCAGCCAGCTGTCCCCTGCGGCTCCACAGGCAGACATGGCAGGATGCGGGCACCAGGCTGGGACTGGGACAGGCAAGCACCAGGTCCCCAGGATGGGCACAGCCATGGACAGGCCCCCAGGTGCTCTGTGCCAGAACGCCCCCCTGGCACACTGCCAGGACAGCAGCCTCCAGAGAACATCCTCCTGACCAGTCCTCCCCCATGGGTTCCCATCCCACAAACCCATCTAATCACTCATCACACCTGGGCAGTTCTGGGCTCCCTGTGGCTATGGGGTGACCCCAGCCCATGGCCACATCTCCCTCTCCCCATGGGGGTACTGAGGGTGCTGTCCTCCCACCGGCTGTAGCCTGGTTGCCAGGGCTGGACAGGGCCAGGTAAATCATTTCTCAGGCAGGAACGTCGCGTGGCCGTCACCGCCTCGGGCACAGCTGTGACACGCAGCGTCAGAGAGTTTCGGCACACGCAGGTTGTGCGTGGCCCCTCCCCGGTCCCATGCGGATATAAACCCCCACCAACCTGTGCTGCCCATCCGTACCTGTGGCACCGCCATGAAGACCGTGGTCGTTTTGCTCGTGGGCATCCTGGCCCTGTGTGCCCATCTCCAGGCGGCTCCTACTGGGGGCGAAGGTGAGTGCTGGGCGTCTCGGGGTGGCCGCTCCCACTGGTTCCGGGAGCGCTGCAGGGCTGGCTGGGGCCAGGGTGCCAGTGAAATGAGCAGGTAGGAGCACTCCCATCAGCACAGAGCCAGGCACTTCCCCAGCTCCAGAGCACCCACGCACCACTGAGGCTGCGGCCATGCCTCGGAGCAGGGTCGCCGAGGTCTGCGCCGTGTGGGCAGCGTGGGCAATGGGGGGTTCAGTGGTGGTAGGATGTGCCAGTGTGGTGGGAGCCCTCGGCTGCTAGCAGATGCACAGCTGGACCCGAGGGGCCAGATCCCCCATGTGCCAGCCCATGCCCGTGGTGTGGGGACCCTACACTGCTAGCTGAGGGGCCCAGCGTCTCCAGAGGATGGCGTGTCCCTCTCTATCCCTGTACTTGCTGCCCCTGCTCTGTGCCAGCAGTGGGAAGCTGGGTCCCTGCTCAGGTGCCCCTTTTAATCATTGACTGCATTCCCTCAGCAGTCAGGAGACGTGACTCCGGCACCTTCCCTGCTGCCATGCAGGAGTCACAGTCACGTGCGAGGCTTGGGCGCAGCCAGCATGACCAGGGTTAGCAGTAGTGGGCACAGCTCCCCAGGGATGTGGTAGGGAAGAGCCTCTGGGGTCATGCTCAGGTCTGCTGAGACCATGTTCTCAGCCAGGATCCTCCCCTCGCCATGGGGACAGTAGCCCACAGCCATGCTGGCAGACCCCTGCGTTCCCAAAGCTGCCCTCAGCCTGTTCTGAGGAAGCACCTGGTAGAGCCAGGGTGGGGACGGCAATATACCGAATGCCACACGCTGGGGACAGGAGCCAAAGCATTCCTGTCTCCCGGAAGGTGATGCTGACTGCGTGGGCTGGAGCCACTGGCCCTGTCACCAGCATGCTCACTCCAGCTGCTCTGGCTGGCTGGGGGCAGCCCCAGCTGGATCATCCCCTCAGCAGCCAGCCAGGCACCCTGGGACTGAGGTGCAACCATGGGCAAACCCACTGGCACCCACGCTGCTCCCCACAGCTCTCATCTTCCTCTGTGGTTTCCCTCTCATCTCCTGCCATGAGCCCATTTCTGGACTCCTGTCTGCTCCTGTCCAGCTGGTCTGCTGCAGCCCCACTGCTGGCATCCACCCTCACAGTGCCAGCTGCTCACTGCCAGCACCAAGGTCACCCCACGCTGAGGTCACCCTGCACTGTGGCAAAGCCGTCACAGGGTCAGACCAGGGCAATGACCCTCAAGGACAACACTGGCATGGGAACTGCAGCTCAGCCATGGCGGGACACCAGGGCAGCCCCTCCCTGACAGTGGGGACAGTGACCCTGGGTGTGCAGTGTGGGAATGGCAGCAGTGCTGCTGCTCCAGGGAAGCTGCTGCTGGGTCCAGGTGGGGTCTGTTCCTGCATACCATCATGCAAGGACAGAGCTTCCATTCTGGCGGGCAGCGCTCCCACCTGCCAGCCATTACCACCCCTATCCCACCCCACCACCACGGCATCGTGTCCCAGCCCTGGTGCTAGGGCCACTGGGCTGCAACAGAGTTGCCTTGATTCGTGGCATCCCAAAGTCAGCCCAGCCCAGCTCCCTAAACAGTGTTACCACTGGGACCCAGAGTGGGAGCATCCCAGTCAGCCTGAGCATGGCCAGGTCCTGGCAGCTGCCTGGCAGGTCCCCATCCTGGAGGGCACAGGGACAAAGACTGCCCTGCTGATCTCCTTGCTGCTCCAGGCCTCTGCCTATCCCCCCGTGTTGCTCCCGCTGTGGTGACACGCGGCACAGTGGTGGGGCAGGAGGCTGAGCCATCTGTGCCGGCTCCTGTTCCTGCATAAACACCCAGGCAGGGAGGGGACCACAGGCAAAGGCAAACAGTTACTGATTTACTGCCACGCCACTGTGCCACATTGTTGACTGTGGGGTTAAATTACCTGGAGACGGACCCCGCCAGAGCAGACACCAGCTCGTGACTCAGGCAGGGATCATGTCCCAGCCCCAGGCACCCCTGGCCCATGCAGGTTTGCAGGATGCTCCAACTCGGAGCTGGGGCTGCCTCTACAGACTCTGCCAGCAGCAAGGGCACATCACCAGGGACAGGGCAGGTCTCACCCTCCTACAGGAGGCTGTGGAGGAGATGGGCACTGGCAGAGTTGGCAAACTCTGAGGTGAGCAGGGCAGCCACGTTGGGTGGGCGAGCTGGGCCTGACCAAACCAGCCCTGGCTCGACACTGGCAGGCACCGTGAAGTGTCCTGGCCCACCAGACATGCTCTGGTCAGGGTATCCTGGACACACCGAGGGGTTCCGGGGTTGTACAGTCCCAGCACCAAGTCCTGGAGCACTGGGTGCATTTGCCAATGGTTCATTCCCCACCAGCCACTTGCCCATCTGGTGCTGCCAGACAGTCTGTCCGTATCCCTGGGGCTGTGGGAGACTGCAAGGATGATGGGGGCCACGGGATGAGGTGGCAGCCGGGCAGAGCTCCCATGGCTGCTCTGGGGAAGTGCAGGGGAGCCCTGGGTTGGGCGTCTGCCCAAGGCACAGACAGCCTGGAGGGCCCTTCAGTTGAGGACCCAGAGCAGGAGGAGAACAGCATCTGGAACAGGAGCAGGAATTGGGTGAGCAGCAGCAGAGCCAATCTGCAGCCCTGTCTGCACCATCAGTTCCTCCCGGCCTCTGGACACTGGTGACCCAGGCCAGGGGCTCCATTCAAGCTCATGACTGTGGCCAGGGCGGCACAGGGTGAGTCCAAGTAGGGACAGGTCGTGCCCTGTCCCTGGTGCACCCAGGCCTGCTACGCTGCCCGCAAGCAGTACCACTGCATCCCCATGGCCGATCCCTGTGTGGGGCCATAGCAGCCCAGCACTTCAGTGGGATCAGTCTGGAGCTGTCTGGGGTCCAGCGTGCAGGGGCTGCAGCCGGTGGTGGTTGGCTGCCATTCCTGCCGGGCGAGTTCTCAGCATGGCCGCCCGGTCTCCTCGAGGCTCCCCCTCCCTGGTCGGCAGCCAGGAGCGGCAGATACCTGATACTCGGGTTGTGCAAGCGCGAAGGGGGAGCCTGGCCCTGCCCGGCCCTTGGGAACCACCCGGAAGGCCGAGCCCGCCAGCCCCACCTGGAGAGGAGCTTAAAGGCCGGCCGGGCGGCCGCAGCGCAGCCGGTTCCTGCACCATGCCCACGGCCCGCAGCGTCCTCATCTTGGCGGGGCTCCTGGCTCTCTGGGCAGAGCTGCCGGCAGCATCCGCCCAGAATGTCACCAGTGAGTATGAGCGCACGGGCCCAGCACGGCTCGTCACAGCACGCCCGGCGAGCAGCCAGCATCCCTCTCTCCCAGCCCCAGGGCAGCTGCGGTGGGGGCCGGGGTGAGCACCAGCCCATGCCTGGTGCAGTTAGGCTCAGCAGCATCCCTGGACCCAACCCTGGGGCCGGTGGCAGCATGTCCTGCCACGGCACACAGCCCTCGCCCTGCCCGGGGCCAGCTGCCCCAGCGCGCGCCCACGCCCCCACCTTTGCCTTGCAGCAAAAGCCGGCGTGTGCCCGGACCCGGCGACGGATGCGGTGAACTGCACGGTGGGGTGCCAGTCCGATGGCGACTGCGAGAGCACCCTCAAGTGCTGCCCGGCGGCCTGCGGCAAGGCCTGCCAGAAGCCCGACGGTAACACTCTCCCCTGCTCCTGGCTGTGCTGCTCGGAGCACGACAGCCCATCCCAGCCCATCCCAGCCCATCCCAGCTGGCAGCACCGGTGCTCCAGGGTGCGGTGGTGGCCACGGGCCTGGGTGCCCGATGCGGGTCCGGCTGCAGCGGGGGGACCAGTGTCTGTGTGGGAGCCCGGCAGGCTCAGGGTGTGCTCCTGCTGGGCCACACTCTCCCCTTCCTCCTCTCAGCGATGCAGGGGCTGAGAGGATGATCCCGGATGACGCTGGGGACGGGGCACAGGGTGGGGGTCTGCGCCGCTCCCCGTCGCAGTGCTCGTTGACTGCTCAGCCTCGTGGGTGGCTGCCAGCCCAGGATGTGGGCGCTGTCCCGGCTCCAACCCTGCGCTGGGAAGTCTCCCAATAGCATCATCCCCATCCTTGCACTGGCCACAGCCCTGCAGCCGTCCAGCTGAGCACAGTTACCATGCCAGTCCTGATGGAGAGCAGCCTCTGGAAATGGGCTCAGGACTTGGGATCCACAGCTGCAGACATGTGGATGTGACCCGGAGGCTCCAGTACCTCCACGGCTGCCTGCAGGATAGCACTGGCCTGGCTGCAGTGGAGGGCAGCAGAGTGCAGAGCTGGAGTCCAGTGCCAATGGCAGGCGGTGGGACAGCGGAGCAGGGGCCCCACACTGCCAGGCACAGGTTGTCTGGGGGCACATGATCCCAGCCAAGGCCTGGGATGAACCCTCATGCCATGAACAAATGGCCAGGGCCAGGGCCATCCCTGGCAGCTGTGGGGAACAGCAGGGCCAAGGCCACCATCGGGTCTGCATGGCACACCTGTGTATCCTGTGCCAGCCATGCGTCCCTGAGCGAGACCACTGAGCACAGGGTCCACTGGGGACCACCGTGCCACACAGTCTCCCTGACACATCCCCGTCAAGTCCAGCTGGCTGGAGCACCAACCGGCAAAGCCAAGGAATGAGGGAAATGCCGGCAGCCATGGTGGTCCCTCCTCCATGGCAGGCAGGGGCCAGGGCCATGCCCACAGCTCCAGGAGCTGCAGGGTGGGCCCTGCCCCCCATGCCAGGACCAGCAGGTCTCAGCCATGTCCATTTGTCTTTCAGACAAGCCTGGCACCTGCCCACCCGTCAGCCCGGGCATCCCCATGCTGGGCGTCTGCACCAACCAGTGCAAGTCTGACGCCAACTGCTCCGGGAACCAGAAGTGTTGCAGGAATGGCTGCGGCAAGGTCTCCTGCGTGACGCCCATCCACTGAGGTCAGCTGGGTGCATGCCAGCCCCAGGGATCCCACCGCATCTGTGCACCCATCCTGCTCACAGTCTTTGCTCCTTTGCAGGCACAGCCACCTCCTGCCAGCCCAGCCACAGGGAAGCTGCTGCCCAACACCCATCCCGCTCACCCTGGCCGTGGCCCTGCATCATCCCCCTGGCTTGGAGTCTTCAGCCTCAGCTTCCTCCCCAGGGTCCCCTGCTCGGGGCATGCCACAGCCCCCTGCACTCTGTCCAATAAAGCAGCTTCTCCCTGCCACGCCGTGGCTGCCTCTCCATCCTGCACCATGGCCACCTTTCCCTGCCACTCCATGGCCACCATCTTTGGTTGCCTCTTTGTCCCGCGCTGGAGATGCCTGGAAGGGTTCCACACAAACACCAGCATCAACTGGCTCTGTTGTGTCTCCAGGGGTCCTCAGCCTGTGCCTTGCCTGAGGCTGTCCCATGGGCCCTTGGCCCTGGCTGACCTGGCACACTGGCTCCTCCACCTCTGCACAGCCCTGCTCAGAACGGGGCCATCAGGGTGCATCTGCGTCCCCTCAGAGCAGAGGTGCTCTCTGCTCCCCGCTCTGCAATGACCAGGAGACAAACAGGCTGCAGCGTGTGCCCTTACATGAGCATCACCCAAACCCTTCCTTGCCCCACGCAGTTGCCTACTGCAGAAGCCTAAAGGAGCTTTGGGCAGTGCAGCCCACGCACCTCTGCCACATGCCTGCCCCTCCCGACCTGTTCAGGGCTAAGCTTCTGCTCCTATCCTGCTCTTCCTGGCACCTCCAGCTCCTCATAGGGCTCCAAGGGCCCTGTCCCTTCTGGTCCTACCCTGTTCCCACTCCCAGCCCCTGGGAGCAGAGCAAGTGTCCCTCCTGCCTGGGAGGGGCCGGTACCCCCAGAGCACCCACCCTTAGCTGCCCCCTAGGGTTGAACAAGCCCTACACCCTGGCCAGCACTGCCCAATGCCCAGTGCTGGTTCCCCCTCTCCCTATGATGCAGGTGCAGGCTGGTGCACCCCAGCACAGCACCACAGCTCCACAGCAACTCTCCCTGCTCCATGTGTGCCAGGAGGGACCTGGTGGGCACTGAAGACTGGGGACAGGACACTGCCCCTATGTGCCAACCCTGCTCACAGTGGTGGGGCTCTGGGAGCTCTACTCGGCCCCCGGCCCAGCTGCTCACGGGTCACCGGTGACCTGGAAAGGGCTCTGTGGAGGATGTGTCAGCTGTGAGCCACAGGCCCAGCGCTGCCCCAGGAGACTCCCCCGAGCAGAATTGTTCATGCCTGGCACTCCCACAGTCCTGAAACCCTGCTGCCATGAGAAAGAGCAGGTTGGCTTGGCCAGCCCCCGCCCCAGAGAGTTTAAATCCCAGCCCATCACCCAGAAGCACAGCATTGATCACAGTGCGATGCTGGGCCAGCGCAGCATCCTCCTGGTGCTCCTGGCACTGCTCGCCCTGGCCCAGCAGCACAGCCGTGGGGACCAGGGCGCTGCTCCCACCTTCAGCACAGCCCCACAGGGACACTGGACCCCTACTGCCCCACCGGCCCCCCCCAAAGCTGGTGAGTGCCCAGCGGGGGCGAGTGGAGCCCCTTGGCCCCCTGGGCTGTACTGCCTCTCCGACCACAGCTGTCCCGGTGCCGAGAAGTGCTGCCAGAGTGGGCAGGTCTGGACCTGCCTCCTGCCCACCACAGGTACCCCTGCTCCCTCCGAGGGATGCCAGCACAGGGGCTGGGTGACGGGTGGGGTGTGGGTGGGGGCTGGTGCCTGTGTCAGTGCCCCTGGCATGAGCCCCAGTCCCTGGCACATGGCCACATGGAGCATCTCCCTCTGCAGAGAGCCCAGGCTACTGCCCCCACGCTGGCAGCGCCATCGGGCCGAGCTGTGGGGCGAGCTGCCACAGCGACACCGCTTGCCACTCCGGGGAGAAGTGCTGCACCCGCGGCTGCTGCACCCGCTGCGTGCACGCCGAGCCAGGTGAGGTGGCCTGGGGGTCCCCATGGCAGGCTGAGGATGCCTCGGGACAGACCCAGGGGTCCACAGCCCCCATCACACTGTAGGGGAGCTGTGGGCACTGTGGGGCCAGACTGGCTGCATGCTGAGCCTCAACCCTCCCTCCAGCCAAACCCGGGTTCTGCCCACGGAAGCGTGCCCAGAGGAGCGCTGCCGCCTGCCCCAACCGCTGCACCGATGACCGGGACTGCCCTGGGGACCACAAGTGCTGCTTCTCTGGCTGTGGGCTAGCCTGTGCCCCTCCAGACACAGGTACAGCTCCGCCAGCCCTCCCTGATCCCCGTGTCCAGCCCACCACTGCGCTGGGGGTAGCACAGCTCTCCCTCCCCTGTGGAGCCCGGCGTGTGCCAGGCCGTGCTGCCGGACAAGCCGCAGCGGCTGTGCCCAGCCGAGTGTGGAGCTGGTGGCAGCCCTCCAGGCCCCAGGGAGCGTGTGCCACCGGCTGTGGCTCCCGCTGCCACACACCTGCCCTGGCCCCAGCCCAGGCTCTCCTGAGCCCCTGGGCAAGAGCTGGCCCTCAGGATCCCTGCACGCAGCTCCTCTATCATGGGGGGGTGATGGTCCCAAACGTGCACAGGGCTGAACCCCCTCCTGCACCCACCTCCTGCACCCTCCTCAGACTGCCTGCTGGTGGGACCACAGCCAGGGTTGTCCCTCACCACTCCACTTATAGCTGGCATCCCATATTGGGCTGTGACTGGTCTCACTGGGTCAGACTGGTGTGGGTGTGAGGCTGGCAACTGAGAGCAGCACAGGGCTCTGCAAAGGAGGATGGAGAGGAAAACAGGATGGAGACCAAGGCTGTGCCAGGAGCAGGGCTGAGGAGCACAGAATCCCAGCACATCCACAGTCCCCGCTGTCACCAGGGAGCCACCATGCCTCGGCGAAGCCTGGCACATGCCCCATGGTGCTGCGGGGCTCCCTGGGTCCCTGCCTGGAGCTGTGTGACACAGACGGTGACTGCCTTGGGGATGACAAGTGCTGCACCACCGGCTGTGGACATGTCTGCAAACCACCCACCAAGGGTAAGCCGTTGGCCAAGACCCCTGTGCCGCCTCCACACCCTGTTACCGTGGCCCTCCCTAGGGGGCAATGGGAGGGTGAGGACTGAGCTGGTGTATGATGGGGGAGGAACTGGGTGAGGAGCTCACCCCTGCAGGCAGGGCAGCTCCCCCATGCTGGAGGGGTGCCCTGAACCTCTCACCCTTCCCTCTCTCATATGTGCCAGTGTGGCCAGGGCTCTGTCCCCCTGCAGTGGATGGTAACCAGGCAGACAAGTGCCTCCTCCTGTGCCTGCAGGACAAGGATTGTCCCACCAGCCAGAAGTGCTGCCAGCAGGGCTGCAGCCGGGTCTGTGTCCCCCCGCTGTGGGGTACGTTCACCCCCAGCCTGCTGCCCCCCGGGTCCAGCCTGGAGGGGACTAAGGGGGGCCCAGCGTGGGAGCACCCCAGGACCCCCATCCCTCAGAGAAGGAGCACCCATCTTCTCTGACCCCCTCACCTGTCTCCTCCAGGCACAGCCTAGCCCTGGCCAGGAAGAGCTGCACAGGAGCTGCCTTTTTGGGGTCACCCTACACCCCACTGCCATTGCACCACTGGCATGAGCAGAGGTGTTGCTGCCCCCGCGCCTGTCCCTGTGCTGGACCCTCTGCACCGCTGGCAGGATGGCACCAGCATTGAGTGATGGCTCTGGTTGGGGTAACTGGTACCCCCAGCTGCTCCCAGCTGTGCCATCAAGGGCTGCACAACACCCATACCACCCCACAGCCAAGGCTCCTGGCAGCCCGGCACAAGGCAATCCCCTTTGGCCTCAGCTGCTCCACAGCACCGAGACAGAATAAACCATCCCATGGCCACCTCTGCTCTGGGTGACCATCCCTGTTTCCCTCTCTGGTTCCCAGAGGCGCCGGCAGCCTGGGCTGTGTGCAGGCAGGCGCCAGGCAGCCATCCCTGCAGGCAGACACTGCCCCGGGGCAGGGAGAGGGTCCCAGTTCCACACGGGCGACCTCCAGCCATCATCACCCCATGGTGACCATCCTGCAGGGCCCGGGGGCTGCTCCATGTTCCCTCAGCAGCCAGGGACAGGAGAACCAGTTCCCTCGGATTCCTTGCACCAAGGAATGGCTCATTTGCATCCCGAAGTGTGAAAACCTGGTGGGAAAAGCAGTCACGGGTCAGGACAGATGGAGTCCCTGGACACAGAAGGGGGCAGGGAGCAGCACGGACCTGCAAGGGGACACGGCAGGGCCTGCTTACTTATGGGTCCCAAGCAGTCCCATGAACAGAGGCTACACCTGGCTGGGGGACAGCACCATGGCAGCAGGGCTGGCAGAACTCCTCAGGCTGCTCCTACTGCTGTGGCACAGCCAACCCGTGGGGTCTATCCACAGCCCCCACTCCAGGGAGGTGAGGGGCAAGCAGGGCTAGAGGGAAACCCAGGCAGGGGGTGGCAGCCAGCTGCAGCAGGGCTGTGCACCATGGGGGACAGTGCCTGACCCCACTGCCCTCCCCAGCCCCGTGGGTCGCCCTGACCCCAAAGCGGGGCTCGGCCAGAGATAAGCAGGATGGCTGGCAGGGCGCCGGTGGGTTCTGGGAACTGCCCCTCCTCCTGCTCCTCCTGCCCCTCCTGCCCGTGGCACAGCCAGATGCCACAGCCAGCAGCCCAGCTTTGACTGCCCTGGCACCTCGGGTACCCCGTCCACTGACTGTAAACCAAGCCCCAGCTCAGCTCCAGACACTCCTAACGTCCCTGGCAGCACCATGAGCCTGGGAGTTTTCCTCCTCCTGGGACTCCTCATCCTCAGGGCAGAGCCAAGCGTGACATCAGAGGAGAAGGGCGGTGAGTACTGGGTAGCAAACCTGGCAGCTGCCAGGCACGGGCAGCCTGGGGGCAGCTCTTTGCACCCCGGTCCCCCTTGTCACTGTCATGTCTCCTCTGTCCCTGCCCAGTACATGCTGGCAGGGACCATGTCCCAGTTGGCTGCAGCACCTGCTCTGCTGCCCGGCTGCCTGGGGGGCCCCCGGGACATGTGTGCACCCCCTGCACCCCCATGTGCACCTCCTGCACCCTACATGCAGCAACCATCAGCTCTCAGAGGTGCTGCATGTGCCAGGGTGTCTTCTACATTCTGAGTGCAGACCCCCCCACACCCCATGCCGGCCCCCTGCAGCAGGATGATGCCAGGGACGGTGGTGCCCAGCTGCAGCACGGCTCTGCCCACCCCGAGACAACGGCCAGTGCCTCTTTGTTTGAGCCAAACAGCTGCTGTTTGC